GCTGAATATCAAAAGACACCGTCTAATAATCATCCTGGAGAGAATCAAACATGCCACTCTGGATGAAAAACTTCGACAGGAACATGCTGGATTAAGGAGGAACAAGTCATGCATCGAGCGAATCGCATGACTACGAATTAACATTGAACACAGCCTGGAATGACGGTCTGCTCTCTATCCCAGCTTCATTGACTTTGAAAAGGCCTTCAATAATGCAGAGTTGATTGAGAGGTGATTTGGCGACTACTCCGCTACTACGGGGTGCCGCAAACAATTATACATCTCATTCAACAATTGTACGATTATGCCGTATGCAAAGTAATCCACAACGGGAAACTCACGGAATCCTTCGAAGAAGCGAAAACGGGAGGAAAAAAAGGCTGACTGACTGATTTCTATCTCCAATGATTTTCCTGATTGCGGTAGACTGGATAGTGTGACAGATAGAAAATGGGCAACGGGAGACAGGCATAAAATGCACCCGTACAAAAAAACTTGGAGGATCTAGACTTCACCGATGACATTTGCTTGATTTCCCACAAACTGGAAGATATGTAAGTGAAAAGCAACAAGTTGGTAGAAGAAGCACCCAGAGAAGATAGCACTTTAGGAGGACATGGATAAAACAGAGGTAATGAAGACTCTCAGGCAATAGCAACAGTAACAACAACAGACAACGATAAGTATAAACGGTAGGAATCTGAAAGAAGCAACCTCCTTTATCTACCTGGGAAGCATCGTTTCAACTACAAGGGGACTCGACTGATAAGGATATCAAAGCAGCGAGAATCAGAAAGGCAAGATAAGCTTTCATTACTCTCAAGTCTGTGTGGAGGTCAGCAGCACTCATCATGAAAAATAAGGTCCGGATTTTCAACTCCAATGTAAAGTCAGTCAGTGCTACTATACTTGGCACATCACAAAGGGCCCTTCGAACAATCTACAGATCTTCATGAACAGCTGGTTTTGCTCAGTACTACTCAAGATCAGATGACCGGCCAGAAAAGATCAGCAACAGGCAGAGATCTCTGGGAGCGAACCAACCAGGAACCGATTGTGCAACAAATGTGCAGGAATGAATAGAGGTGGATTGGCCATACTTTGAGAAAGCCGTCAAGTGAGTGACATCCCACGCCAGGCGGTGTCAAGTTAGTCGTCAGTGCGTGGGTGACATGTGGGAGGAGGTGATGTGAAGAGGAGATGAAAGTATGTGGGCAGACGTGGAGCCAGGTGATGAAAACGTTGGCAGAGAACCGGATGCACTGGAGACTTGGGGTTAAAGCCCTATGTTCCTCTAGGAATTGAAGGAAGCAATAATAATAATTGCTTAGTAATCTGAAGGTCTTTTGTTGGTTTCTTGTAACAGTAATGAGTATGTGTACTGATGAGGTGTCTTAAAATAAAACGAAACAGGTGTTCACTAATCCTAGGTTTTTCAATGATCTATGTAACTGATATCGATTAGTTTGTGCTGAAATCCACTGATTGAAATTAATCCAAATTCTCACATATCTAATAACCTTCATTTTTTAAATCTGAAATACATAGAAACTAAAGTAGACTTTTAGAAGTAGGATATATTATTTCCCTCAAGTATGTTTTAGACATAGAAGTGACTAAGTGAAGTCTGTGTTTGTGTGGGTGTGTGTGTGTGTCTGTCGGTCGTTGAAGTCTTAGATTTTCTTAGCGCAGACTAGACTTCTATAGCGATTGATATCCTTATCATTTCGAATAGAATATCGGTTCATTTTAATTTAATCTTCCTGGCTGATGATGACTATCAATGGAATATCTAGGAATGTGTTGGGTGCTGGGTGCACTTGAGGTTCCCAGTGTGCAACAGTCTTGCTTCTTGAGACTGAAACAAACGATCTATGGCTCCAAAAATCAAGAGGCATTATTCACTGGGCCTCTACAGCCGTGCCAACCAACTCCTACGCAAAGATTATCCGATGACGAGTTTCAAACAGGACAAAATGCAGATGCCCTGGATTCTACTGCTGGTTAATTAACAACCAGAATAATCTTATATCAGTTCTTAAGCATTCATTGAAGCCTCCACACTAAGAGTCAACATGTAAGCAACAGAGATCAATCATTTCATTCCGACATAAACAATAATCAAGTGGGAAACACAAAATTTAACCTAAAAACGAATTATTTTCACTTAACTAGAGTGTTACTATGGATCTGATGACTATAGCTCATTTAGTGTGAAAGCAAAAATGTTCATGTATCAGTGCTGTGCAAATATAACATCCATAATTTGATAATCTCACTCTGTGTTTCGTTATTTGACGTCAACCCTACCGAAACCTGAAAGTTATAAATTTCAATGAAATATTTGAGCTACTAAGTTCTATATGAGTAATATGATTTATTTTATATAATTTTATAAACCTTGTGGTAACACCATCCAGTGAATAGATCAAAATGCTTTTGTAAAGTAGAAAAAAGTAGCCAGGCGGAATTGATGAGTTTTACTAAACTAATTTTCAACTTTTCTCATGCAGGGATATCAATTAAGGGACCTTTGGAATCCAAGTAGTACAAGGTGGCTTCTTTACACCACATTGAGACTTCATGGCACCACCATTAATATCTATCCGTACAAGCTTCGGCATATAAATGTTCGGCTGACGCACACCTTAACCTCATTTCACCTGGCAAGGAGGTAAGGTTTGGCGTAAAGTTAGCAACCCTTTTATCTCGTGAAAAGACACCAACAGGGCTGAAATTTCGAAGCTCAATCTGGAGGCATTATGTTCTACTCAGAGAGCAAAGGATGAAAAAAAACAAAAATACTGTCAGTAATTCGATATTCCCATATAAGGAGATTGCGTCGGTGGTATAGCGGTTAGGACGTTCGCCGACCATGACAATGGTCCGGGGTTCGATCCCCGGCCGCCGACGCACTCTTTTACCTCGCTAAGCCAGAAATAATGCTGGTAAAGAGGAAAGGTAGGGCATGAGGCTGGCTAGCAACCCCATCCTGTAAAAATGAACACTGCTACAGAAACTTCAAGCCACTAGCTTGAGGCCCTATGTTCCACTAGAAACGTGAAGGAAAAAATTATAAATTATTATTATATAAGAAAATTACCTCTATCATATGTTAAAATCTTCATTTGCACTGATCTCCCGTATTGTGATACTTCTAACCATCTATTTGTGTCTCTCGTGATTCGCTTCATTACTGACTGATTTCCTCTTTGACATCAAATCTACCTCTCCACCATCGGATATTTTTTGTCGCAATAAACATCTCTTTATATACTAATGATAAGATTTATCAGTAGTATGTTCACCAGGTACGAAGAGAGATGGAGTTCATTCAATTCCTGACCGATACTCTCCTAAACTTCATTCAGTTTACTAGCTAACAGTAAGCACAAAAAGACCGGAAGGTTAGGCGTGAATCCAGTAATCCCTACTCAGAAAGCAGGCAACACCACCGCTACAACTAGAACTTCAAAGCTCCAGCTTGAAGTCTCCTATTCCACTGGGGCGGAAGGGGTGGGCGGGTTGGGGTACAAAAGGAATTAAAACTAGCAATCAAAATTAGGCACATAACATTACAAAATTTAAAACGCGTTTTCGGATAATTTTAGGACAGGCTAAAAGAAGTGAATTGGCGACAGTTTAGAGGATTGCTACCGACAAATAACACTCACCCATACCCATACACACACAAAAACAAACAAAAGAACAATAGCATTCCCCTTTCTAAATCCCGAAAACTTTTAGGCTTGTCGCCACACAACTAGTTCAGATAAAAATTTCATGCTCTGTAAATAAAAATATATTCCAAATAAACTTTGTTTTCTAAAAAAAACTGGAAATTTTCGAAATTCCATCGTTGACTACTTAATTTGTTTCCGCGTTTCTGAACATAAAAGAAGACTATATAGGCCAAAAATAAACAGTTGTAAAAAAATATATGGTTTATTGTCGAATTGGCAAACGCAGATTAAAGAAGCAAGAAAATTTTCGTCTGTTATCTCCTCTTCATCGTGGAAGATTTAAAGTTTCACTAGCGGTAGCGGTGTTATTTTTTGCTTACGGCGTAAGATAAGATGGCAAACCTCATACCGTAAACTCTTATTATTTCCTGGCTTATAAAAGGCCAGTGAAAAAGGGAGGTTTAGGAGTGTGTGTGTGTTGGCCGCGAGTCTAATCCGGAGCATGTGCTTGATTGTCGAGGATTTGACAACTGAACCACTGATATACAGAAGTACCAACGTGTCGAGGATTGAACAGACCACTTCTTGCATGCGAAGCGAGAGATCTGGGGGGCGACCTCGACGATTTAAAGAGAACAGGTATTCTTAAACCTTTGATTTCCATTTATTCCCTCTATTATTGTTGTTATCATTCACTAACATGAAGTTTATAATCACATTGAATGAAATCCATTGATGAGGACTCATAATTATGTGTGTATTCGTTCCTATTTCTGACCATTTACCCATGAAATCTGATGTTTAGTTTAGCTGTTGGAGGTTTTGAGTTATTGAAATTCCTGCCAAAATGGCAGTGGGATGTCATAACATGAAGGTCCCAGGTCCGATACATAATGACGGAGTCGTGGATGTGATCACGGGTTGAGAGAACTATTGGAAACCAGTCAGGGAGTACTTGACAGCTGTCTCCTCCATCCTAGTTTGGGAATCATCGGCAGTACGCACACACTGTCAGGGTTAAAATCCAGGACCTTCCGGTTACAGGGAAAGCTCGTACGCCATTCCATGAGTTCTAACTTTTACCAATTTGGTGGTGCATTTAACACGATCACCGACCAATGTCATCGGTAGGACACCCATCCTCACACACTTGACTGGATGGACCTCAGTGGTAAAGAACTCTCACTAGAACTCTGGGAGACTGCGTCCTGGAACCAGTAATCACTAGCGAGCATCTTTTATAATATAGACTATATTATCTTTTATTTCAGAACTTAAATTTATGAAATTTTCTTCTTCTGCTACTTCTCTGTTTAGGTAAATGTATCTCCACCTACAATCACTTCGAGTACTGATCATACATGGAATAAAGAGTCCTCTGATCAGCATAATTATCCACAACACCCCCACCACCACCACCACCAACAACAACAACACAAAAAGCCGGAATACCATGAAACGGATAGTTATCATCAAAGTGAGTCACTATGTTTTATTCTCTTTCAGAGTATTTTTCTATATATGTGTGTGTGGATAAAATTAATTTTGATTATGTCTGATATTGTTTGTTGTACAGTAATACTTACTGCTGACCACTTTTTGAACACAATCCCTTACTGCTCATAAACCTAATATTAAGTTACTCAAACAACTTTTATTGAATTTGAGATTTTCCCGTCGATTGATTGGACCGAAGTGCACAAGAGGTGGCTCTCGTGGCCCAAGTGGTCTAATGGATAATGCTTTGGCGTTTGAAACTATGGGTTCTGGGTTCGAGCCTCAGTGGGAACATCATCACTCACTGAGAAATGCAGGTACATCCAGCTGACGAGTCCCAAATAGGACGAAATGCGCATCCTGGATTCCACTGCTAGTCACCATCCACCAATTAGATACTCAAACAACTTTATAAATTCGTTTGTGTAATTGCGTTATTTTTCATCTCTTGATTTGATTGGTAGTAGTATTTTTCACATTTCTCCTATGAGTGATGAGTCATTGCATCGTATTGTATGTGTTGGGTATAGATTCTATGAACAAGGATTCAGTAATCAACCTCTCCCTCTCTCCACCTACTTATATTACTCCTTAGAATTTCAATCCTCTCCCACCTTACTGTGTGTTAATACATGCGGTGTAATGTAGTGCTGAACTTTTTTCTAAAATACTTATCTTCGTAGGATCAATCATTCTAACCTTAGCTAAATTCTTATGTTCTGACAATCTGACTTCCCCCGATCTACTGGTCTGACCTATGTAGTTGACTTAACTCACAGTCATTGCGAGGTATTTTGCAAATTGTATTATTTTGTCTAATTGGGTCCACCGGGTCTTAAAGCCTACAGAGCTTGCCTCTGAGTGAGTTTGTAGGTTTGAATGCTACCACATGAATTCATGCTTTATTGAGAACCCTACTACATATGGTCTCAGATTACCCCTCCTTATATGGTATAACAGGAGATGACTTATATTCTGTCTTATTTATGTTATCATTACCGGTTTCACAATTATTTCTAATTTGCTTTTGGCCTTTTTCGATCTTCCGAATAAATTTTATAGGATAGTTATTTAACAACAACGCCCTTCTATCTGTTTCATTTCATCGTTTAGGTTTTATGTTGTACTACTTAGTGCTATTGCTCAGTTTGTTAGACGCTTAACTGAGCCTGCCTTCACAGACAGTTAACGGATGAGATGAATTAAAGTCTAAATATCTATTACCAGAATGCGTTGGCTTTTTAAAAATGCTAGTGTTCAGTTTACTAGCAAAATTACTGCCTGTGTACTGACCCCTTTTGGAATTGTTTTGCTCGAAATATTACTAAAATTCCAAAAACTTATCATTGTATGTGAACTATTGAAATATAATTATACCTTATTTGATCTATTCCACAATACTCAAACTTTTCACTGACATTAGGGTACTTTTTGAGTTTTAATATAAAGAAATCTTCAAGCAGTGGAACCATTGTTGAAACCATGACTATACCATCCTTTTGTTCATGGATCTAATTATTAAAAGAGGATTGAATATCTAGGAGTTTCTTCAAGTAATCAGTGGGTATTCTAATGTTTGCCCCCTTGGAATCAGTATGTGCACGTTTGTGGCATATTGTTTGAGTTTGTGGGACTTGGATCAACAATCAAAACTTATCTAGTGATAGCATGATTTGAATAGAAACGTTATTGTTTTCAATGGAATTAACAAAGTCCTGGGTTCGAACCCTGGCGGTGGGTCCTAAACTAGGACAGAGGAAACAGCTGTTCAGTACTCCCCTGGCTGGTTTTCAATGGTTCTCTAACTGATATCAATCCGTGGTCGAACTCGAAAAGGTTAAAAGAGTCTAAGAGTGAGTGCCAGGAAAACTGGTTCTCCTAAGTGGTTTCAGCAGTTCTGTATTTTTTTATTGCTCCCTTGAGTTCCTAGTGGAACATAGGGCTTCAACTGCACGTCTCCATTTGCCACTTCTGTCTTCCTTCTGCTGCACTTTTCACCTGCATCCATGTTAGTCCATATTCTTTCAACTCATCTTCACACGATCTCCTCCATGTCACCCTTGCACCGACGTCCCACACGCCGCTTCCCTTTCGGGTTCCACTCGAGGGCTTGACGCGCGATGTCACCCAGCGGTCTGCTCAGCCAGTGTCCAATCCATCTCCACTTTCTTCTGCATATTTGTTGGTTGGCGATTGGTTCTTGCTTTGTTTATTCCCATAGTTCCTTGTTAGTGATTCTTTCCGGCCATCTGATCTTCAGTATAGATCCAGCGAAGACAGTTGTTAATAAAGTTCTGCAGCCTTTTGGAAATATTCTTTGTGACCCACCCGCCAAGTTTCTGATCCGTATAGAAGAACTGACTGAATTGACGTTTGTATTGAAAATCCGAATTTTGTTGGTTATGCTGAGTGACGAAGATTTCCAGATTGATTTCAGGCTGATGAATGTGTTTCTCGCCTTCCCGATTCTCGATTTGACATCCTCGTCCGCTCCTCCTGTAGTTGAGACAACTGGTCAATGTGATGATAAGCAGAATTCATCATGTCAAGAACAGGACGGAGATGTAGGTCTTTCGTGTTTACTTTCCGCAATCCGTGTAGTCAGAGTATCTTTGGTCCAAATAGTCTCAGAGATTCTGACATTTTGATGTGAATGAATGATTCGGTCTTTAGTTTCCAGTTTGCTCCATACTATTCTTTTCATTTATCGGTTTTATAAATTTGGATTCACCAGATAGGATGGTTACCATTTCACACTATGACAGTAGGCTACTAAAATGTATTTTAGTAGTGTAATGATAACTCAATAAACTTTTCATTTCCTGAGTAAACGGTGTTGTGAGGTTTACTTCCTCGAACTGTGTAGAGTAAAAATTGAGAATTCATTTCAACAGCCATGTGACAACATCACATGTCAGGTGATTCACAACGGAAAACTTAGAGAAGACTTCTAAGTGAAGACAGGAGTATGGTATGACTGCCTTTCATTACCGATGATATTCTTCATTGGGGTGGATTGGATTTTGCATCAGACTGGATGAAGTGAGAAGACAGTTATGCTCTAGCCTAACAGAAAAACGCTAGAAGGTTGAATGAAATTCGCGGATGTCACACAAAGTCGAAAAATTACAGGTGAAAGGCAACAAGCTGGCAGAAGAGACAGGCGGCGAAATCAGAGCTTCAAGTGAACATAAATTAAGACGGAGGTGAAGAAGTCATCCGCAGACCAGCAACAAGAGACCAACCACTATCCAAATGAGAATTTTGAAAGGTGTCACTTCCCTCACTTGTCTAGAAAGCATAGTTTCAAATACAGGCCGTCTGAAAGGATGAATATATCAGAGCCAGTCAGTCAGAATCGGAAAGTCAAGATACATAACTTCATCAAGCTGAAACCAGTTTGGAAATCTTCTGCACACAGTCAGCATGTGGTGAGAGCAGGCCGTGAGAAAATATGAGCAAGGCTGATTCAACAACCAATCACAGCAAAGTTAACGTGGCAAAATATGATTCGCAGATAGAGAACTCTATTTGTCGAGGAATCCCGAAACAACCAATCAGAAGCCTGCGTTTGTCTGCCTAACTTCTGATAAACAACCAATCAGATGACTGCGCTTGTCTACTTGCATAAGCTATAATAATGTATGTGAAATATGTATAAATACGTGTTGATTTTCATAATAAAAACGATCTGTTGCCTGGCCCTTGTCTTCTGTTGTTACAAGCACACCCAACAAGATTCAAATTTTCAACACAAATGTGAAGTCAGTCAGTCAGTCAATTCTCCTAACGGGTCAGAAAATTGCACTGCATGTGCGTCACTTAAGCCATTTCCAACAGGTTGGAGACTTTTATCAATAGCTGCCACCTTCGACGGCTGGCTCCATTATGAAGATCAGATGGCCAGCCAGAGAGAATTAGTACCAAGAAATTTTGAGAACAATCTAATCAACAACCTACTGCTCAAGAAATATGCGAAAAAAATGGAGATGGATTGGGCATACTCTGATGAGACCGTTAGGTGACATCGCACTTCAAGAAGATAAGAGACTGTGGGCAGTTGTGGTTTCGTCTAAAGAGGAGAGTAAAAAATAGATGAAAGTGGAGACTTGCTGTTGTAGCCGTATGTTTCACTCGGAGTTCAAGTGGATAATAATCATAATAATAAATACGTTGATGAAGGGGTGAATTAAATTAGTATTAAATTATTGACTACTTACATTTCGTGCTTTTTGACATTCAACAGTCAGGACGACGTATCTACAATCTTCAAGGAACTCATATCTCTTCTGAGATTTGAACACGACCTACCTTTAGTGTTGAAGTGAAAGACGTTCTAACTGGAACTCTGTACCATTGGATGCTGTCCCATGTGACTTCATCCCGTAAACTAAAGGTAGTGGTTTCAATAATTGAGGGTGTGTGGCCATAGATGCCTACTATTGATGAGACCCTTCAAAACCAGAATCAAACAACTAGTTGTCCCGGATCCCCCTCAATTAGTTTTCAATGTTTCTCGAACTGATATAATTGATCCGTGATCAGACCTGGAGAAAACAATATTAAATATTTTAGAAAATATAAACAGACATGCTTATAAATAGCTCCTGTGGACGTTCACTTCCGCACACACAAACACACGACCAATAGGTAAGACAAATGTGAATGGAGTTACATTTCCTGTTAGGCTTTTTTAAAAGAAATGTTTTGCAAGTATTTGTGTGCATACGTGTGTGCGTGCGTGTGTGTGGAGGGGTGCAAACGAAAAGGGGAACAGAGTCAGACAGAACATAAATAATTGAAATTTTAAACAACGATAAGATGCATTTTTGAAAAAAAAAAGAATAATCGAAAAATAATAATTCAGAATTATGGATAAGGATGTACAAGACAATTTTATCTTAGAATGGATCCATTACATTCTGCCTCTCTCTCTCTCTCTCTCTCCCTGTCTGGTCTGGTTTCATCCCTCCCTTGCCCCTGTATTGTCCATCTACCGCCCCAGTTTTTCATGTGCTTATGGTACATTGGTCATTTCACAATTATTCTGTCTTTCTCTGTGTGAGTGTGCTTGTTTGTTTGAATGTTTGTTTGAATGTTTTGAATGGATTTACTTCGTCTTGTCTCATTTCATTTTTTTTCTTATTTTTAAATTTAATTTAAGAATTAAAAGTAATTTTTATCCGGGGAAATAGTTTCGAAGATCCTTAATGATTTATATATGTTTATTGGCCAATACGAGTTGAAGACATGAAAAGGTTGACTGCTTTCGATCATAGATGTCTGCGATCTCTGTCTCACGTTAGGTGGTTTAATAAGGTAAGTAATGTTGACGTTAGGCGTAGAGTGTTGGGCAAAGAGGGAAAATCAATCGACGAGGCTATAAAGTTACATAGACTAAGATGGCTAGGTCACGTGCTGCGCATGCCTAACCATCGCCTCCCCGACGGGCATTGCTAGCTGATATAGGTGCAGGTTGGAAAAGGGTAAGTGGTGGCCAAACAAAAACATGGTATCAATCCATGAAATCCTTGACAGTTAAACTGAGTCAGGTAGGCAGATGCAGACTCCCGGGTTGGGGCCCTCGGGACTCTAGGAATCAATGGCTGGAGACAATAGGTGACATGGCTCAAAATCGTTGTCAATGGCCAGCGCAGATGTATTCAGTCTCTGTAATCTTTCATATTCCTTTTGACCATCACCATTACCCATTCTGTTTCACTCTTATACTTGTCAGACTGTATTGATTCTCTTCACTCATCTTCTTGTCTACCTCTGTGTGTTATTTGGAACGTGGCAACTCGAACTGGTGCACCTTGGTGCCAAGTTCTATGTTGAATCCAGACAGACAGACAGATATATGTTTATACGAGTTTGACCACGCATGGATTGATATCAATTAAAGAACCATTGAAAACCAGCCAGGAAGTGCTGGACAGCTGTCTCCTCCTTCCTAGTTAGGGAATCATCGGCAGTACACACCAACCACTGGGATTCGTGACCAATGAGGTTCATCCAGTCAAATGTGTGAGGATGGAGTTCCCACTGATGACATTGGTTGATGGTCGCACAACTAAATGCACCACAAATTGGTAGAAGTTAGAATTCATGGACTGGCCATTGAGGAGTCGGCTCCAAGTGGGTGAAGCGTATTCGAGCAGCTTGCGTTGTAACCGGAAGGTCTTGTGTTTGAATCCTGTCGGTGGATATGTAGTACCGATAAGTATCAAATTAGGTTGACAAAAAAGCTGTCGAGTACTACCTAGCGGGTTTTCAACTGATATCAATCCCTAATCTACTCGTAAAAACAAAACTATTCCCTACAAACCAACTATAGAAAGAACTATCATAAAAAACTATAATCATGGTTAAAGTTATCAGAAAAACGATAAAGAATTCCTAAAGCTAATTTTATCTTTTAACTTTAGCACTGATTATGTTACCTAGATAGATGGCGAAACCTTCGTAATTAAACCACTAATATTAAAAATATTCCAATAGTAAAATTTAGAACAACACATTTAAGCGAACAATATTGTTGTTTTCAATTTGATTTCATCAGGCTTAACTCCAGCATACATAACTTTACAAATAAAAATTCAAATATAAACCAATCATCATGGTGTTTTGTCTATAGGATAATAATAATAATAATAATAGGTAGCTTCGCCAACGTGTTAGTGAACATCTCCCATCGTGGTTTGGCAGAGGACAGACAAAAACAATCCATAGCTCCTTTGTGTCACATTTAGTTGATAGTGGTCATGTAGTGGAGAAAACGAGAGCTTTCTAGTATTCAGAAGAAGTTCGTACGCAGCCACTATCTCTCCCTTGTTGATCTATGAAGACCTAACCAACTAATGACTTCTCCACTATCCTTTACTTATAATTTCAACCCTTCTCATATCATCCCTTAATCTTATCATATCTTCATTAAAAACGTGTTTCATTTACTTCCCTTACAATCTAGCATTACTTAATCAGTTCGCTTGTTTTTACTACCCTTTATAGACTGCTACGTCTACCCGAAAATGTTTTTAATCGTGGTGCTTTTTGGCTATTCTTGTTATCACAGGTCACCCCTTTTTCTCATCCTTATTACTGATAGAAGCATTATTTTCAAGAGCTGGTGTATAAGAATTAAATTTCTTTTTTACTAGTTCGACCACGGATTGATATCAGTTAGAGAGCCATTGAAAACCAGACAGGGAGTACTCAACAGACGGCTGTTTCATCCTAGTTATTTGGGAATCATTGGCAGTACGCACTCACCACTAGGATTCCAACCCAGCATCTTCTGGTTACAAGGCACTGAGACCTGATTCAATAGACCAAAGATGACATTGGTTAATGGTCTCGCTAAATGCACCACAAATTGGTAGAAGTTAGAATTCATGTGTTCGCTATTGAATTGGGTCCCATAGACTGAGTGTTATACGAGCAGCTTGCGTTGTAACCGGAAGGTACTGGATTGGAACCCTGATGGTGAATGCATACTACCAATGATTCTCAAAATACTGGGATGAAACAGCTGTCGAGTACTCCCTGTCTGGTTTTCAATAGTTCTCTAACCTATATCAACCCGTGGTCAAATACGGAGAACAAATCAACCCTTGAAGATGGCCAAATATTCATACAGGGTTAAGTGAGTATCACCCCTTCCCAACTGCTCCTAATAATACATTGTCTTATATTCTTCCTGAATAGCATTCTAACACTTTATGCCAGGAAATCAGCGATATCATTATCATGGATACAGAACATGTTAGATCTATAAATAACCATGTATTGATTATATATTCTAATCAATAATCCAATTGTGTAATAACTTCCGGTAGTAATTACGCGTTATAGACAAATGACGATGGTGATGATGATGATGATGATGGCGAGAAAAAGACAGAGACAAACACGCAGAAAGAAAGCGGGGGGGAGGCGGGGGGAAAGAGTGAAATCAGGGGTGGGAGAGAAAAGAAAGCTTCAATTCACAAGGGAAATAAAAGCATTATTTGTTTGTTTTCGTAATGTTTTTCCTTTCTAAAAGGAATTACTATCCTAGAAGAGTTATAAATAATAACAACAACAGAGTTAACAGATGCTTCATTTCACTAATAACATTATTATTATTACTATTATCACTGTGATTGCTTTATTACTCTAGTTCATATTTATTTTAAGAATTCGAAGGGATACTTATAGACACTGTGTGTGTATGAAAAACATTTATGTCCTGAGGGGAATATATAAGACTTCATAGAAGCACATCTCTATTTCATCTCCTGTTGTCTAAAGTCCACTCCAGCTGGCTTCATAATTCTTCATGGTCTGTTATCTTATCTCACTTCATCTCATCCTCCCCAACTTGTCGCTCATTTCCCATTCAGCTGAAGCTCTAGGCCACTCCAGTGCATCTCCATTTGCTTCAGTTTCTGATTTTGGGTGGACAGTCGGTTCTTGGTTCTGTATCAAAGAGTTCCATGTCGCATATATTCTTTCTGATTTGCCACCTGATCTTCAGTATAGAGACGGCGAAGGCAGCTGTTGATTAAAGTCCGAAGCCTGACGGAATAATGATAAACACTGTGTGTTAAGCATTTATGAGCTATTTTCAATGCATTGATGATTGCCAAGTGTCATTTGTAAGGGATTCAATCGATTCGAGAAAACCAAGGAGGGAGTACTGAACAATCAACTGTTTCGTCCTTAGTTTGACTGTAATGCTCATCAGTATGCCACTTCCCCTCCGGGATTTGTTCGAATCCACAACCTTATGGTCAGAAAGCGAGCTTGTAGGCCATTCCACCTTGTGGGACCCCAGTACAATGATCCGTATATCGTGAATATTCTGGAATTAGAATCCTGTCCCAGCCTCGATAACCTGAAGGTAGAAGTAGATTCTGTACCTGTTAGAGTGGTTTCAAAAACGCTTACCTGCTGAAGAGACCAAAAAGATGGAGCAAGAAGCAGATGTTTGGCGTAAAGTAGTCTCCCAACTAATGTAAATTCATAATGAAAACTTAAAATCAATAAAATCCATGTAAAATCAGCACTTGAAAGTAATAACAATAACAATTTACAGTCGCATACTACTTTTAAAATTATTTCAGTAGTATCATATTCCCTAACATCATTATTTTATGATCTTTGTCAACTAATTCTATAAACATTCTATTCCACATTAACTGTGTTTCCCTTCGTCTCTGTATACGTGTTCTACCTGTGTGTGCGCGTCTATTTGCGTGTCAGTTCATTTATTTATTTTGAAAGAAGTCAACTAAAGTCAACTGATTGATCAATTGATTGATTGGTCGATCGATCGACTAATTGATTAATTTTCTACATGTTTAAACATGTTTTGTTTTGTGAAAGTAATATCACTACTAATCTTTAAAATTTTAAATCATCAATCTGAAGTTTTTATTTATTGATTATTTGATTCATTTTATTTATTACCTGGCTTAATTTTGATAACATTAGTATGCATTGACTTGACGTTAACTGGAAAAAATAGAACCATTGTAAGAATTATGGGCGTGTATATATGTATATATACAGCACGCCAGACAGTTGTTTCATTCCCCATATCTTTCACATTGATCAATAGAATTTATTGATTAACTGATTTAATGATGTGTGGATGAATTGTTCTATTCTGTTTGGTTGATTTTCTACTATATTTTTAATGCTCATTTAAGTTTTTAAACCTTTCGTTGTTCAATTTCATTTGGACTTGAAATATTCGACCTTAGTTTGGCGTGTACATCCCTATGAATTGGAAGAGTTATGATGGAAAAGTCCCGGAGGTATGAAAGTGATATGACAGTCAATATATCCTAGTAGATATGAGTCTTGTGCTGATGAACTCTGCAAGTCTGTTACTCTTCTCAACATTATTCCCAACAACAGTCACCGACATATAAAGCACGAAAGACAAGCCGTTGACAAGATGGTAATCGCTGTTTTAAATCAGCAACAAGATGTATTGACAGCTATTCCGTAAATATAGCTTCTTAAATGACCTTGAAAGGTACTATTTTCACTGGTAAGTTAAAACAGCTGACAACCAATAGGATTTAGCCGTCACACAGGGGAGCGGAAAATACAAACATCGCAGTACAGTAGATAAAGTTAGCTTCAGTCGTGGTAGTAGTGCAACAGGAGAAGACAAGAGACTTGGCAACGAACTTTTTTATTAAGGAAAAACACACCACATTTACACATTTCTAGCCAAATTTAGATTCAGCTAGGTCAGCGGATAATAAACTGTTCTGATTGGTTGTTGATTTTTCGAAAACTCTCCAATGAGATCATTTCCTGACCACAACGTAAACTTAATCCGGATTTGAGGAGGATTTAAAATATTTCTGTCCAACTTCGACTGCTTCCTAACAATTTGCAGCCATATACTACTGATAAGTTATTGTCAGTAGCACACACTACATTAATAGTAGTTTTAAAAGGATTACATACTCTAGAACACAATGAATTCACCGAGCACGACAAAAAATGATCTGAGAATCATTGAGGGGAATATTCCTAATGAAATGGGATCAAAACTTAGTCTGCATATATATCAAAGAGAACTGAAAAGAAACACATTTCAGGGCAGACAGTTCAAGGTCAAGCGGGCATTCCACGGTGTTGTAAACCATTTGATGATCGAATCTGGAAAGTTGTCAAGTCCTTTATGAACCAACACTTGTAAATCAATCTAATGGGTTTCAGCGGAAGGGGGTGAAACCTCAAAAGCCTGATCACTGACTTTAACTGAAGAAAGTCGGTTATGTTCGGCTAAGTGTTGGGTTTTGCAAGACGTTCTTGTAATCACATCTACTTGACACCTTGTGACGTTAGTAGCCGAATTACTGGAGAACTAGATATATGTACTCAACAAGATGAGGTGATGTCACTATTAGAGAGAGAGAGAAGGGATGGAGGGAAAGAGTCAGATTGCCTTCCTCTATGGCATAAGTTAGTGAATCACGATGACTACTAATCTGGAGTCTGTTATTTTGAATTTTGTTATGTCTAAGGCCCTCAATAAACCTTCATTAAACACTCACTGTTAAGCCAAGAATTCAAATCCTATATAGATAAACTAATCACCCGATTAGAAATAAACCATTATATAATTAACATAATTTACTACTTCCTTGAGTTTCAGCAGGAAAATAGGGTTTCAACAGCAAATTGTATTTCGTCGTCCATGAAATTTTTGTAGCTGCTTCCAAGGAATCGACCACTAGCTAATATAATTTAGAGAACCATTGGAAAACCGATTCCTGTCAGTTGGCGGTATTATTATTATTACTGTTCCCTTGGGTTCCTAGTGAAGCAAACGGCTTCAACTGCACGTCTCCACTTGCCACTTCTGTCTTCCTTCTGCTGTAATCTTCACCTGCACCCATCCATGTTAGTCCATACTGTTTCAACTCCTCTTCACACGATCTCCTCTATGTCACCCTTGCACTGAAGTCCCACTCGCCGCCGCTTCCTTTTCGGCCTGGTTCCACTCCAGCAATGGCCTGACGCACACGCGATGTCACCCAGCACGATGCCTCCTCAGAGAGTGAGTGTCCAATCCATCTCAATCCACTTTCTCCTCCATATTTGTTGGTTGGCGATTGCTTCTTGTTTTGTTTGTTTGTTGACACAGTTCCTTGTTGGTGATTCTTTCCGGCCCGACCATCTGATCTTCAGTATAGATCCAGCGAAGACAGTTGCTGGTTGATAAAGGTCTGCATGCAACAGACTGGTGGAAATATTCTTTGTGACCCGCCCACCAAGTTTCTGATCCGTATAGAAGAACTGACTGACTTGACGCTGTTTGTATTGAAAATCCGGCCGAATTTTGTTGTTGATGATGAGTGATGAAGATATCCAGATTGGTTTCAGGTTGACTGATGAATGTGTTTCTCGCCTTCACGGTTCTCGCTCGACTTGACATCCTCGTCCGTTCCGACTGCGTGTAGTTGAGGCAATGCTCCCTAGATAAGTGAGTGAATGAAGTAACCTCTTTCAAATCCCTCGCGTTGATGGTGATTGACGCTGCGTGTTGCTGCTGCTGTTGTTGTTGGTTGGTTATTTTCATAACCTCCGTCTTGTCTATGTTCACTTGGACTCCTGTCTTCGCCGGTTGCTTCTTCGACCAGTTTGTCGGTTTTCGCTTGTAAGTCTTCGATTTTGTGCGACATCAAACATAAATCATCCACGCGCGAAATCCAGGTCTTCTAGGTTCTTCACGTCGGTCCAGGATATCCCTATCTTGTCGTTTCCGACTGTTTGACGCATAATCCAATCAGTCCACCACAATTAGGAATATCATTAGTGATAATAAGCATCCTTGTTTACTCCAGACACGGTATACGTAGCACAATAACCAGCCAATGTTAAAGACGAGTAACTTTTGGAACCTTCTGATTACCACTTCTCACGAGAACTGCAGGTAACTTCCCCCATAGAGCCAGTCGCCAGTGAGCCTGAATAGCTCAGTGCTAACGTCTCTGACTGCAGCACTGAGTGGTACAGGTTCAAATCTCAGAAGGAGCGTGAGTTCCTGACTGATGAGTGTCAACTAGTAAGAAACGTAGGTCTAAGCAAGGCTTCCTGTGGGGCCGCTTGCCTCCAACCATCTAAGGTCATCAGATTGATTAATAAGTTTTAGCTTGCAGAGATATGATCTTCACTTCCTCTTCACAACATCCTCCATGCTACACTCGTGTTCCTCTAGGAACTAAAGGATACAATAATAAATAATAATAATTATCCCAAAAACAATACTTGTGATACAGAATGGAATTTTCAGCATTAATCACAGTATTGCATCTAATTTCCTCAAATTATAAATGAAAATTAATCCCAGAAAATTTCCCACATTTACAATAGAGGTAGTGTCAAAAACATGCAGCATATAAAATGGAAATAATAATAATGACAGCTAAGGTAATAATAATAATAATAATAATACAAGTGAAAAGTTCCGTGGGCTTGTTTCACACAGTATTGTCGTTATATGCGGTATAGAAATCCTAACATGTTTAAAAAAATTGAATATGATGTTCTCTTTACATGACATGGTGAGGGGAAAAGTAAAGATTACAGCCGTCATGGAAATAAGTTGGTGTTTGCAATTATGAGAGTAAAACAAACAAAGAAGCAACAGGACCATAAATATAATAGAAATAATAAAAGTAAAACTTGAAGGTATATAAGGATGAATGGAGGAAATTGTTTATTTACTAGATGAAAAAAGGTTAGTTAATTCTTGCCTGACACTATTTTCATCACATAAAATACGTGCCAAGTATGGTATCATAGAATTTTTATACTTGGACGTGCGAGCATACAGTTTTCTGAAGTTACTTCTTATTCTACCTGAGGAGATGCAAGGTGAAAGCTGAGGGTAAAGCGGATGCTCCAAGTCAGACAAAATCCCTCTAGCAAATTTATTGCACGAAGTCAAGTGCCTATCGATAACAACATTAACTATGTAGTCCACTGGGACACCACTCACCCTACTGACCGTCTTCAGTATTCTACAAATTGTTACGTAGTCCTTTTTAAGCAAACCAGGAAAGAATAATGAGGGTGAACAATAAAGAAGAATAGGTAGGATGCAAGAGTTTATGAACTGTAAGAGGAGGGCTTGGTTGAGTTATACCTGAATGCCTTAACTTCTTAATGTAAAATGTCAGGCGGACTTTGTCAGAATAAATTTTACCCACAATGGAATTATATTCTACCGCCACACTGCACAAGTTCTATTCTTATATCAACACAATAATTTAACCACATTCTATGCATATAATTATTTAGGTGTTCTAACCCTAACAATAACCTTAATCTTCCTGAACCTAAATCTAACGTGAAAATATCCCTTAGCTAACTGTAATCTCCTTTATTAGGTTAACCTAACCCTAACCTTGTCCTTGGACTAAACCATAACTTAATCTTTCCCAAACCTAAGCTGAAACTTCCCAGATATCCTATTTAATAATCTAACACTTTGATGAGCATGTTTCGTTGATGATGACAACGTTACTTGTCAGGTTTCATTAAATGGCTCAATGAGTGTTTCAGGGTCGTTGGTGCCGTCACACTCCATTTGTATATGTGGTTAGTGGTGCTTAAAGTTTAACTTGCCCACCTGTCTTTTGTCATAAACTTATATTCAGTAACAAGCTGTACAACAGTATATATATATATATATATATACATATGGTTTTTAAGAAATTATATCTGGTAAGGCGTCGATGGCACAGTGGTAGAGTGCTCACCAACCACGTAGGTGATGGGGGCTTCGGTCCCCCGGCAGACGAGGCACTACTTTACCTCACTAAACCAGTAACACTACTTGTTAAGAGGGAAGTTTGGGCATGAGGCTGGCTAGCAACCCCATCTTGTAAAAATAATCACCACTTCTACAGAGAAACTTAAAACCTTTAGCTTGAAGTCCTAATGTCGACTGGGAACGTAAAGCATTAAAAAAAATACCTGGTGAGAAAACTGAATCATATAAGTGAATGCATAAAATAATAATAGTAGTAACATGAAATGCAATTAAAATATTTGTGATGATAATTATAATTAAATAGCAAGTGGCAATGCAATTTATGTCATACATATGGAATAAGTCATAGGATGTATAGAACTTGGAAAGGGGTGTGCAATTATAGGATTAGTAGGCAAATCGAATAAGGATAAAATGTTACGTAACACTGTGAGAAATTTAATAACCAGTTGACCAAAACTGTTCAATAACCCCATAGGACAACATCTCAAAGTTGA